CTGATACATTTCTCTTTGTTGACCCACTAAATAGTAATGACTTCTGGTTATTCTGCGTAGGATCTAGATACCTGTAAGTGCCTGCTGACTTCTGAGCAAGTTAACTAAACTGTTTCTAGTCACTGAAGAGAAGTGGGTGCTTCTAGGATGCAATTTTCTCAGCCTATGGAAGGTGTCTTAACGCAGGTCATACTCTGTAGAAGTAGCTGTTTCTTTTCATTAACTATAAAAAAAAATAGTCAAGATGATACCTACAGATATAGGTATCTGCCAAAGCTAGATTTGAACCTGTAGCCTTTCCTAAGGCTGTGCTTTCAATGTATCATTCCAAGAGTTTTCTAATATCTGAATGATATTAAATTAGATAGTTGATTAGCTGTCTCTGACATTCTAAGCCTATGGGAAGTGATTCAGGTTCTTAAATGTAGGAATCTAAGGCCAATTTGCTTTCGCCAGGCTGTCCAAGCTGTTCCCCAAACAGGGCTAGCAGGCATGTGACTTCAGGGACCTCTGTTCTGTAGCAGCTGCTGGAGATCATGCAGAATACATCAGAGCATCAAAAATGGCACTAGATATCTATAAACATAGGCACCTCTGTTTAAGATGCGTGATTATAGTGTTCTCTTTTGCCTGAAATTCTCCAAGTGTACCAAATTCTGGTCAAACAGACTGATATTTGCTCTCTACGGCACATAAAAGTCCAGAAGAATAACCAATAACCAGTGTATCCTGGTGGCATTTCTCAACTGGCTTCACAGACTACAGGACCTCCCCAGGATGGAAGAGAATTTACGGGTACCTCCCAATTCCATTAACTCTGCAATAGGGACAGTAAACAAACTAGTTATTGCTAGGAATAGGCTGATGGTGTTAAGAAATTTTCCATCTGTCAGCAAAATAAGTCGCCTTTCTGTGTAAACCTTGAAGAAACACCAGTTTGCTAGAAGATTAAAACAGTATTGATCACTCTCTTGTTTTTCAGGCTGCTGGACATTGAACAAGAAATGACCAAGTTTGCAGGTTACTATGCAGGAATTGGTTGTGCAGTACTCGTGTTAGGATACCTCCAAGTCAGTATTTTGATTTCCTATGATTCCTCATTTTGTTTCAAAATTTGCCTCACAAAATGATTAGGTATAATATTAATTGTGTTCTTTTTAACTACTTAGTCAACTTCAACACTTGAGCAGAGCAGGTAGCTTAATTTCTAATCCTGTTGGCTGAATCTACAATCAGAGACCTACATATATTTGTGCTTATCTTTTTACATGGATACATTTTACACCATGAGATGAATGCATGCTGCTCCTTTCACATCATAAGAAATGTTTGCTTGAGTGTGATTAGAGGAAAAAAAAAGTGGCTGACACAACCAACTGCCTAAGTATTCTGCCCACTAGCAGTGAAAATGAGTCATCTTTGTATTGTACCATAAAATGTAACATTTACATTTTGGGCTTTGTTCCATCTCCTGCATGCAATCATCTAGTGCCACTTAGGTTAGCCTAAGATATCTGAAATATCCGAAAAGAATGACAAGATTTCTAGTTGGCCTGTCAAATGGTGCTAGAAACCTGTGTTTGGGCAACTGAAGTAGAGCCCTGTTTCTATTGTAGAGATGATATGGAGTATTGCTGCTATAAGCATAGTGCAGGAGAAGAATCACACCTTACATGGGATGTACAATGATTCAAGCCTTGTGCCTCAGATGAGCCACAAGCATGGATGATTTCTGCAGAATCTGCTAAAGAGACCACTGCCTTTTTATATTCACAAAATTCACTTGTCATTCTCCTTCCTAAAAAAAATCTCAGTTTTGCTGAGGTAGGTGGTGGCCATCCTTATTTATTGCTGTGAATAAATATTTTTTTTCATCCCTACAACATTCATGTAACTCCACAAGTAATTTATCTGTCTCCGTTCTCAGCCTGTCACATCTGAGACAAGTGCTTGATCAGAGACTGAAAAAAGTTGCAGGATTATTTAAAGATCAAGGGCATAAAACAACTGTCATGTCTATGTAGCTAGAATATATTTCATCTGACTGGTAATTTTATCAATAGCCAACCTGTTTTTCCTTTTTGGGGGAGCAGAAATATTTTACTGCAATTCATCAGCCACTATATTCTCTTTCCAGATCTGTTTTTGGGTTATGGCTGCAGCTCGTCAGATACAGAAAATCAGGAAAGCTTATTTCAGGAAAGTAATGAGAATGGATATAGGCTGGTTTGACTGTACATCTGTAGGAGAATTGAACACTCGCATTTCTGAGTAAGTAATCCAACATATGCTACATTTTTTGCACTTCCTTTGGTGCTCTGAATACCCAGCAGTCCAAATACAAAATATCAGTAAGTAGCCAATCCCTCAAGAACGATCTGTAACCTTCCTGCTGGTGGATACTCCTCTGAGGTTGGAGATGTAGTTTGAACCCCCCTCTCACTTCCTGGAAAGAAAAATCATTAGGGGCACCCTTCCTTCCACTTGTTTTTTATAAGAAAAGAGTAAGCCTGCTTAAAGTTCTGCAAAAGAGAGTACAAGCACCTACCTTTAGCAAAAGACCCAAGGTAGGTGGAGGAACCTTCTTGTCCTGTGTAGAGATTCAGCCCTGAGAAAAACTGAGGAGTTTAAGACATACTCCTTTTCTTAGTGGTTCTTGTTTACAGGCTGAAGGCAACTGTATGATGAATATGCTGACTCTAGATGGCTCCCTGTTCTCTGTGATGCTTGCATGACACCAGGCAAAATATTTTTTGGTGGTTGACAGGACTTTCCACACACTGTTCAATGGAATCTAAGACTTTTATTTATGTTCTACTTATAGCTACACACACTCAGGATCTATTCTTCATGAGGAATTTCTCTTGCAAAAACAAGGAACTGATTTTGTATTTTTTTGAATAAATAACATTCAGTTTCTTGATCTTCTTGACTGCAAAAAACATTCTCAGGAAGAAATATAGAAATATAGATATATAGACATGTTCTTTTTTCAACACATTTTCATAGAGTTTTGTTTTAATATATCAATATATATTAATATATGCTTTAATATACCAAGGAACTAACAAATTTGCACTTTAAATCTCAATGCCAGTTGGTCCTATGTAGTCTGGGAATTCCTAGTTTTGCTTATCTCAGGGATGAAGCTAAGGGCAGCAAAAATATAATGACTGTTTTGCTTTGAGGATTTTTTTTTCTGTATTTGCGCTGGATAGGAGCAGAAAACTCCACCACCAACTCTCTAGCAAGGAGCAAACAATGTTAACCTCTGCCCATCCCTCAGATGGCAGAGATGCCTTGATGTTTTTCCAGAGCCTGCAGCAATAATGTAGCCCTCCACTATATCCTGTACAGCTCATTTAGAAAAGAAACTATCTGAAAAGGTAGAGCAGGATTAGAAGGTGAAACTGCAAAGAGGGTTACAGCCCTCTTCCCTTTCCCTCCCCACTCAGCAAAGCTGTATGTTACATATTTCGTGCTATACGATGGGAGGAATGCAGTATCAGCTGTGCAGTTTTCCCATTATCTTCCGGCTGTGATGTCCCTGCTTCCTCTTTGGAATCAACAGGGGCACAGCAGTAGGAACCAGATAGTGAAGGAGATAGCTGGCAGGATAATTTTTCTTAGGAGAAGCCATATCTTTTCTGAAGTATCCATACATAAGCACCTTCTGCCACTACAAAAGCTCCAGATGTCCTCACTGTAGCCCAGGATCTGTAGAAGTGAGGAAGGTCAGAATAGGGGAGAGGAAGGTTCCAGGGCCCTCTCCTGGAGAAAGCACCTGACCCAAATGTGGCCTGACCCTGTAACCTGAATGACTGATGATCTGATCTTTTATCTTTTTTTGTTCTTGTTTCTGTTTTCTAGTGACATTAACAAAATTAATGAGGCTATAGCTGATCAAGTAGCAGTTTTTATCCAGCGCTTTACTACCTTTGTGAGTGGATTCCTGCTTGGATTTGTCAGTGGCTGGAAGCTGACTTTGGTTATCATTGCAGTGAGTCCACTAATTGGGATTGGAGCAGCTGTCTATGGCTTGGTGAGTGAGTTGTGTGAGGTCCATGCCTGGGTGCAATGAACAGGAAAGACCATTCTAGAGAGCTGGAGGGGTTGCTGGAAGAGAAGGCTGTAGTGCCTACTGGATGTCAGAGGCAGGTTCTGGCCTGCAGCATCCCTCTGTAACTACAGACCCTTTTAAATGGTTGCTCTATGTTTGGTTTGAGTTCTCTGCAAAGGCTAGTGGGGTGGAGACAATCCCATCTAGGAGCTTTAAAACATTTGAAACGAAGTATTCAGACTCACCTCAAGCTGTCCCTGTTGCCAGCAGCTCCTGCATCCTCTTCCAGCTGTTTCTTTCTCTGTTTCTCCTCCCACTCCCTCTACTCTGTTTTCACTGTGAAAAGGAACCACCTGGGTGGGGGGAATTTCAGATTTCTCAGCAGTTTCACCTCTAATCTCTTACTCAGCAGGGCTGGGCAATTTTTGCTCCTTCTTTGCAATCTCTTGTACTCTTTATTTAGGTTCAGCCCTGTTGCTTTTTCCCTTCTTCCATTCCAGGAACAGTTTCTTATCCTTTTGCTATCAAACCTATAGTGTAACTCTGGAAATTTCATCTTCCTGCTTCTTTTTCATCACTTGTGCTATGACTGCAAGTGGATGATATGAATAATGACTCAGTGTGAAGTGGGAGAGCAGCATTCTGCCAGGGAATGAAATAAAATTCTTTTATTTGCACTTTCTCTCTGAGCTCATTCTCCTTTATATTTTTTTTCTATTCCATTTTTATTTCTCTGTCCCCAACTCCTTCCTTTCAAATACATGCTGTTTGATATTTCCTCCTCCTCAGCCTTTCCAGATGAGGTCTTTGTTTTTTTCCCCCAAAAAAATTAAACCCAGGGTCAACCTGGTCTGGTTTCCTGTCTCCAGAAGTGGCTGGTAGATGCATGGGGTAGAATATTTGAAGATGGAAGTCAAAATGACACTGTCCAACTTCCAGTGACATACCATTCCTGAAGTCAGGTGGAATAATGATCCATCTTGACTTTTTCTTCCATGAATCTGAGCAGCTTTGTCCACTGGAAAGCTCTGGAATCCAGAGCATACTGTGGAATGCTGGGGAGAGAGCTGTTTACTGCTAGCATAGGCAACATGGCATGGTGGTGGGCAACATGTTTCCCCCTTCCTCAGCTGCATTCCCTCTTCTGCCAGAAGAGGGAGGCTCTCTTCCATCTGGGCCCTGTGTCAGCAGCTAAGGGCTTAAGCTCCCTGCCGAACCTCCCCTTCGCCCTGGAACTCGTGTACCCTCCATCTGAAGCGTCTGAGAAGGCAGGGTGCATAAGAGCTTGCTTAGAGCAGGGAGGTGAACTCCTGCAGAGTAGGTTGTGCTGAGTGACAGTCACTAGTGCTAACCACCATCCTTCTCTATACCTATAGGTGTAACCAACACTTCTTATGGTTTTGTAGGCTGTGGCAAAACTGACAGGCCGAGAATTAAAGGCTTACGCAAAAGCTGGGGCTGTGGCTGATGAAGTACTCTCATCCATCAGAACAGTGGTTGCTTTTGGTGGGGAAAAGAAAGAAGTTGAAAGGTTTGTTCAGACAAATTTTAAAAGTCTGATTTCTTATGTAACAATTTAATGCTATCACATGCTTCACTATCCTGACAATTAGCGTGTCTGAAAGAGTGACTTAGTTCTGAAAGAGTGACCATCCTTCAGCTTTGACTACTTCGAGCATGCATATTTACCACAAAAAATTAGTTTTCCAATAACATTATGTATGCACAAACAGTTAAGGAACTCCATCAATTGGTGTATTAAAACATCACAAATAGTATCTTCAAGACATTCCCCCTTATGGGAACCTGCTATCAAATTTTCCTTTTCTTATGAATCACTTTTACAGCACATCTGAAAAGTCTGGGTAATTTCAAGCTAAGTAAGAACTAGTTCCAGAGTCTCATAGCCCTTCTGACTACCAGCATTTTGGGGCCTCACTCTGGAAGTTTTATCTTAAGTAGGAATATTTGCATGACTTAAAAAAGAGGGGAAAGGAAATAATCTGATTGGATTGGGAAATAAAAGTTTACTTTTGGTTTGTTTTTGTTCATAAATTGTAATTTATATGTATGTTACTTTTATTGCTTTCCTTAAAATATTGCAACATGGATACTGCAAAATAGAGGATGTCATTCCTTAGACAGTGCCAGAAATAATAGTAACAACTGCAAGTTGCAGTAGCAGTACTTAATAACCATAACTGAGTGTTAGAAGCACTTCTAAGTAAATAAATAAGTAGATAAATAGCTTACATTTATTTAATTCATAGTGTGATTGTAAGACTTTCTCTGAAGCTTTAGCCAAGTTGCCAGATCTTGTGCCACACCACTAAAGCTCCCAATCCCTTGGTCAGATATCTGTAGCAAGTGTGGTATTCCTCGTGCTTATTACAGTAGGACATAAAATGGGGTAGACCTTATGTGGACCGACCTTCAATTCACTGCAGTGCAGTCAACCTCATTTGGGTCTCTGTTTATATGATTTTTCTATCAAATTATTTTCATCCACTTTTGTTTTTCACTCTTTCTACAGATATGATAGGAACCTGGTGTTTGCTCAGCACTGGGGAATTCGAAAAGGGATAATAATGGGAATATTCAGTGGTTACATGTGGCTTGTAATTTTCCTGTGTTATGCCTTAGCTTTTTGGTATGGATCTAAACTTGTCCTAGAAGAGGAGGAATATTCACCTGGCACTCTTCTACAGGTACCTAATTTAGTTTGATCTAACTTTTTTGGACTGTCTCTGAAAGCATTATTTCTAAAACACATATTTGTAATGTTCTGGTATCTGCTACCCAATGGGAATCAGCACAGTATGGTTTTTGTTTGTTTTTGTTTTGTTTTTCTCTCTAATGTTGTTGCTCAGTATGTGCATTCAGAGTATATGACTCAACTGGATAAGAAAAATAAAAATAAGCATGTTCATTTTAAAGATTTCAAATGCCACCTACTGTGATCAGAAGGACTCTTGCATTTATGCATCTGCTATACATCTCTCAGAGACCTGAAACTGGCTTTCTCATATCTTGGGTCTGCCTGTTATTTCTAGAACATTGGCTCTTTTAAAGAGCTTTATTTGTGATGAAAAATATCACTCTGGTAAAGACTGAACCTGCACAAAGGAAGTTTTATACAAATCTAACCTCTCTCATATAAATAGTTTCAGTCCTTTTGAATTGCCACTTTTTGTTGCAAATTTCCAGCTCTTCGGGTGACAAAAAAAATTTAATGGTTTTGACACCTGCTAGCCAAAATCCATATTGCTGTAGTTCCTGCAGTTTATACAGAAAACAAACAAACAAGCGAAAAATGTGTAGTAACCTGCATAGCACTCTTAGGCATCCACTACTAGCACAGTAGAGGCTTTAGACACTGATAATCTAAATGTAATAGGAACAGAATCTGTAGATGTTTGTTATTCTTCACTCCGTGCCAAAGCTGTCCAAATAGCAGGCTCTGGTTCAGGCCCTGAATTTTTTCCTGAAGCTTAGTAAACCCTGGTGTTTTGTTACCATTCTCCATCTCTGCTCAACATGCCAACTCGTAGCTCTCATGGCAGCAGCCAAGAGAAAAAAAAGGTTGCTGAATTGCTCTGACATTGTAAAATTGAGTCATCCTGCTCGAGGAGAGTGGCCTTCACAGGAAATCATTTGCAATTGTGTTTAGCATGAGTTTGTTGACACAGGGCAGTGCCATGAAAAATAAACAGAGCCATTTTGTTACCTTAACTATCATTCAGAGGTTTCAAACAGCAAGCTGTGGGAAGCTACCCTATAGCTGAAAAATTTTAGCTGTCAGCGGAGAGCGTTTCTTGTGCTCCCCTTTCTCTCTCAAAGTTCATCTTTCCTGTTTTCCATCATACACTCCTGGTGAATTTGGGCTATGGTACTTTATAGATACAAAACATTTAAATATTCTCTTTTCAGTCTCTGAAAAACTGTTGTGCATGAGCCATACTGAGTTGAGATAAAATACAAGTTGCCTTCCCTTCCTATCAAAGCTGCAGGACCCATTCCATTCCTGTTCATGAGAGAATCTGACATGCGTGTAACTTGTTTGCTTTTGGACTTGCTCATACAAGATTAATCTGTAGCAAAGCTGAGTAAGAATTTATGATACGATCTGCATATCACAGTGTAGATGTTTGCAGTGCACGTTATGCACAGTTGTGCCTTTCTCTTCAGCCCTGGGGGATATTTCCAATAGGTATCAGAGTGGTACAAGGGAGAAGTGTCCTGTGTGCTCTTCTTTCTTCCTCACAGTAGTGACTCCTCCTACATCTTGCCTTCTGTCCTCAGGAATTGTATTCAAAAGACTAGCTGAGCCTTTAACTACTTTTTAGCAAACTTCTCAGCCATCATCAACCTAAGCAAGATTTACATACGAGTCTTTCTTACTCAGAATTTCTGTTTTCTGCTACCTGCAAAAAGTCAAATTTAGGGCCTTGAGATATTTGTCAGCGAATTGGAAATGTTCACAAAAACCACCATGAACAATTGTGCTTATACAGTGACTTACTGCAGTTCAGCTGATACACAGGAATTTGTTAAAGTACTGTAGTTTGATTTCTATTTCTGAGTTCTGTAGTAAAACTAATTAAAATGTGCTGTTAGGTTTTCTTCATTTTCTTTCACTATTTTGTCAGGTTTTCTTTGGCATTTTAGTAGGAGCTTTAAATCTTGGCCAAGTGTCTCCCTGCCTGGAAGCCTTTGCCACTGGCCGTGGAGCTGCAACAAACATCTTTGAGACAATAGATGAAGTAAGTAACGATCTTCTAAGCTCTGTCACTTGGTAGTGAAGTTAATTGAACAGCTCTCAAGCAGGGATAGTTTTATCCACAATGCACATGAAGAAAAATGAGAGGAATTAAAGAAGAATTTACTATACAATGAGAGATCTAGGTGCATGGGTGCAAGATGTTAAACAAATTCCCCACAATCTGTTTTTGCTTTTCCCGCCAACTACTTCTGTTTCTTGCTGCAATTTCCCCTTATGTCCTATTACTGATCAGGCTTGCCCATGCAAGGCCAGCATCTGGGAATAGCTTTCAGCCAAGGTTTCAGCATAGAGGTTTCAACTCCAGCCTTCCAGATGGTGTGAAAAGATGTGGCTCTACTGGTGTTAGTTAACTAGTCTGTCACCTGGCCCAAAGCTGCCCAGAGTGTGAAATGAGACAAGTCGTGCTCCCACAGCATCCATAAATGTTCTTTATAACTTTTTTAGGAGACATAAATACATGAAATGAAGTTATATGTGAAAGGTCTGGGAGTTGCTGGCATTTTTTCATGAGTTTGCTGTATTTACGTATACTGAGTCATTGGAAAAATACTATAAATTTCTTAGCAGTTTTTAGGGTCACTGGTCATTGATAGTCTTTCTTGTGTGAAGCGCTGTGTAAACAGGTTGAAATGGTGCCATGATTGTACATTTGTGACTGGACAGTAAAAGCACAGCTCAGCCCTGGTACTGATTTTGTCTGGCACTAAACTTATGGAATCCATTTGTAGAATTAGTGAAACCCTTATTTCTTCATAGCTTAGTATCTGAACTTAATTAAGGCATAATCCTAAAGACTAACCAGTCTTTTAGCTATTCTTAACATCTTAGAACACACACATTTCTATTATGAATATTTCCTTTTGTATATTCCCTTCCCTCTGTTAGACTGCATAAAAATCGTGTATGTTTCAGTTATTTCTGTATCAGTTATCACTATGTTGCCATAGTTTTAATTAATCCTCTGCCTTCCACAGTTAATATTTTCAGTAAAGCCCGTTATAAATCTGTCCTTAGAACATCTGATTTCTTTGAGTTTCCTCAGGTTTCTTTTTTTTTTTTTTTTTCTCCACTTATGTATAACAGTCAACAATACTCAGGTCCTGGCCAAAAGCCAGTGAGTGCCAAGACACTTGATGGAAAAGCTTAAAATCAGGATTCCGGCAGTTAGGAGTGGGCATGTAAGGATGGATGCTTTAAATGCAGGGAAGTAATTAAGTGTGCGGATTTTCAGCAACAAATAGATTGTTCAGTGATGTGATGATGTGAAAGATCATTTACCTGAGTAAAGCAGTACCATCTTAGTCCTGAGAAGCTGGATAAAATAACTCAATATACCTCTTGCATGTACTTTTTCTGTTCCAGCAAAGACTAGTAAAATGACTGTGGCAAGTGTAGTAAGCCAAAGATGAGAAGCGGTTGCATTCATCCTGCCTGTGTCACCCACTAGTTTGAGCCATCCTGCCACGTCGGCCTTAGTTTAGTGTTTCTTGCCTGCTAGTTCTGAAGCAGATTCTGCTGTTGCACCAGTGCAGCCAAGAGCCTTTGAAATAAAAGTGTTACGGCTTTGTGTGGTATTGGGAGTATTTATCTACTGCAGAAATGTTGGCTGTTAAATTAAATAAAACTTAATTCTACCTTAGAAACCCACCATTGACTGCATGTCAGAAGATGGCTACAGGCTGGATAAAGTGCATGGAGAAATTGAATTTCATAATGTAACATTTTATTACCCCTCCAGACCAGATGTAAAGGTAATTAATTATTCATTATCCTTCTTGTAAGCAGTTATAATATGCTGGGTTTGCCACCGGCTACGGGGAATTAGAATGGATAGATTCTCTTTGGTATGTATTTTTTTTTTTTAATGGTGTTTTGTTTTTTAATCCAGATTTTGGAAAACCTTAATATGGTTATTAAAGCAGGGGAGACAACAGCTTTTGTTGGAGCTAGTGGAGCTGGAAAGAGTACAGCAATACAGCTCATCCAGCGTTTCTATGATCCCAGTGAAGGCATGGTGAGTTTCCCAGTCCAGAAAGGTTTCTCTACTCTTACATGCTGGGAAGAGCAACATTCCTTCTTCTCCAAGGCGGAAAGGAAGACTTTTTTTTTTTTTTTTTTTTCCTTAGAGACAAAAAAGAAATGAGCAAATATCCTTAATTTGTTCCTTTCAGGGGAATGCTGAATAGTTTTATAAAGAATAATTATGTGAAAGAGAAAAAACATAAGGAAGAAATAAAAATGCATGTGCTAAGCCTGAGTAAAACATATGCCTATCCATACAACAATTCAGGAGTGACAATCCATTTTCAATTCTAGGGAATACAGTATTGAACATTTAATCATTAGCACATAATACTGCATCAGTATGTGCCTAATCATTTAACGATAAATATGAGTTACATTAACATTTTCTCTCATTTTTGTTTTCCTATTTAGTCCAAATCACATTCATAATAACATATAGTTAAAAGAGACACAGAACCAATTTAGTGCATTTAACAAAAGTGTATGTATTTAACAAAACTCACTCACACAGAATTTAGTTATATTATAGTGCATTTTGTGTGATTTTTTTTTTTGTTGTTGTTCTCATGCCAAAACACTTCAATATTTGCAATGGTTTCAATATTCCTAAAGAACTTTCCACCACATCTGAAAGTGCTTCCTAGTCTTGAATGTTAGAAAATATATGGAAAAAAACAATAGCACAGCTCACAGCAATCTTTCTTTTTCCATGTTCAAGAGGAAAACTTTTGTGAACTTTTGTTTGCCTGTTCATTTTATAATTAAGACTTTCCCTTTCTTAACTTCACCACCACCACCAAAAAAAAAAAAAAAAAAAGAGAGAATAAATTTGGTCAGAATTATTCTTTTTCACAGCTAAAAGGTGAGGATGAATAAATGAGACACAGAGGTAGTTTGGAGCTTTGTGACCACCTCTGGCTGGGGAACAGAAATCTCTCCCTCTGGGGGAAGATTAAAAAAAAAACTCCCTGTCTTGAGAAGTGTCTGCAAGCAGATCATAAAGAACATATAATTCTTCTACCTGGGTCTCCATGGAGCTGTTATTTCAGTTTTACAAGTGGAAAACACATGTCCTTTACGTAAAACTAGTTTGATGGCTATTTTCTGCCTGGGTTTATTTGTGAGGCCAAGCAAAAAGAGCTGTTGGCTTCCATTGTGCTTTTCTTCATCTCTGAACTGAGGAAGACAATATTCCTCACTTTTTAAAATTGTTGTTTTGTTTTCTCCTTACTTTAATTGACTCTCTAGATTACCCTGGATGGTCATGACATTCGTTCCCTTAACATCCAGTGGCTACGCTCCCAGATTGGTATTGTTGAGCAAGAGCCAGTTCTGTTTGCTACCACAATTGCAGAAAATATTCGCTATGGTCGGGATGAGGCTACCATGGAAGAAATAATCAAAGCAGCTAAAGAGGCCAATGCTTACAACTTTATCATGGACTTGCCGCAGGTATGCTGCACCTCTTAAAATGTTGATGGAAAAATAGAGAATTGCTCTGTCCTCTCCCCTTGCAGCCATCTGAGCTCAAATGGAAGAGCAGAAGATTAAAATTGACAGTAGGTAGCAAACTTCCCTTTGACAATGTCTTACTACATATATTTTACCCCATTGAAACTTAACAAAATGTGAGCCAAGGGGAATTAGTTGCTCAGGAGTTACACATACAATATTTAATAACATGGAGATAATTGTGATTTTAAAAAGAAAAAGTCTTTTTCATTCTGCTGAGATCTGCTTCTGCTTGGGTATGTTTTTGAACAGTCTATACTGAACCTCATAACCTCATCTCCTTGTATGAGTTTTGTCAGTTATGTAAAATAATTGTTCCTTGATAATATATTACTTGATTCTGTCCTGTAAGGTGTCGTCAGGGCTTTGGTCAGTTGTACAGCATTCTGTCTCAGGCAAAACAATACAGATTATGAAGGAGGTTGTCTCATCAGCTGTCTGGAGCAATAACGATGTCTTTCAAAATTGTTATTTTTTTAAACTCACAGCTAGTACAAATCTGAGAGACATATTATGTCTGAGAGACATGTCAAGTGACTTCACAAGAAGCCTGACAGACTCCCTTGTTATGTGTTTCATTTTCTTTTTTTCCTCTCGCCCAGCAATTTGACACTCATGTTGGAGAGGGAGGAAGCCAAATGAGTGGAGGTCAAAAGCAGAGGATAGCTATTGCTCGAGCTCTTGTGCGAAACCCTAAAATCCTGCTACTGGATATGGCTACCTCAGCACTTGATAATGAAAGTGAAGCTACTGTTCAAGAAGCACTTAATAAGGTTTGCTATATTATTGCATACATTAGATTTAAAAGAGTAGAAACATTTTTTAAGGCACTGTGTAGAACATTCTGCTGAATTGTAACAAAGCATTGAGAAGCTTTTCTTAATTACTTGTATGTCTATATTGTGTGTCATATATTATATGTCTTACATGTCAGCAAAAAGACCCTTGGTATTGTCTGGAAATATTTCTTTCTTATTGGTTCCTAACAAGAATCTATAATTCACTTTCTTCAGAGATCGTGCTGGTCTCTGGGTATTCTCTGCCCTCCATCTTGTTCTGGGTGAACCGTGGTCTCATCCATGTGTTCTGAGTCCCACAGCAAAGCCCCTTGGGAGGAGGGGGTTGAGATAAATAGGTAATAAAATGCTCAGGATTGTCAAGATTTTGACAATTCTGTCCGTGATGAGAAGGAAACTTTTCCATATGACTTGTAGGATTTGTCTGATTAACAGTGAATACCAGCAAGGTAGATGCCTGCCCCCCAGTACAGCTATGCTAAGCCCGCTTTTTAACCAGCAGATTCGATCAATGCAATTGATTAATCCCACCTGGGGCTTTATCTAATCCTACAGTAAATAAAAAAACAAAACAAAACAAAAAAGAGTCAGACCAGAAGTACCTATTTTAGATAAACAGATTTAATATAAAGGGAGCTTAGCCTGAATTAATGTATTGTGTAAATTTTGGTAAAATGAGTGCTATCTCTGGTAATGAATGTCTTTGGTAACTGTTTAATTAGACAATAACTAAGTGAGAAGTTTGAGGAATCCACAAGCTGTACAGAGGTGTCACCTGTGATCTATTTTTTTCGTCTTTCTGAATTAATGAGTCCGAGAATGACCTTGGGTAGGCAATGAATTCAGAGCATGTGAGCTACATTCAGAAATAACGCTTCACTGATCTCAGAGAGTTAATACTTAAATGACTGTTGTATAACTTTGCAGTTGTCTGCAAAGGGTGGAGAAAAACACTTGCTGCAAATAAGCTTCAGTTCTTGATATGCGATTCTGTGGTTTGTGCTCAGGCAGTTGCACGTTTTCTCCATCTGTTCATCAAGGTGGAAAGAACATGTAGTCTGAGAGATTAGCTCAGATTAGCACAATCCAACTTACAACATGTTTTCATGCTACAGTAACACAGTTTCACAGCTTCCGTACTGGAACTAGCTCCCTTTCAGCCAATGTAGGGCACTAGCTAAAGAACTCAAAGTATTTCCCTCTCTAATACATGAAGAATATGGGCAATGGATGGAGATAATTCAAAGTCTGATAAAACCACCTGAAAGACTCCTGTCGATATGAGCAAATTTTTGGTTATGTTGCGCTGGTTCCGGGCAGTTCTGTTTGCTGTCCTGGCAACATGGCTGTTCTTTCAGGTTCACCTTGGCCGCACGACGATCTCGATAGCTCACCGCCTGTCCACCATCAAAGCAGCTGATGTGATCGTTGGGTTTGAGCATGGAAGGGCTGTGGAGAAAGGAACTCATGAGGAACTCCTGCAGAGGAAAGGGGTTTATTTCATGCTGGTGACCTTACAGAGCAAAGGAGACAAGGCACTTACTGGAGCATCAGGGCCAAGTAAATGTCTTGTTCTTGTTCATAAAATTCCATGGAATATAGGTTTTGGGTTTTTTTTTTTTTAATTGGGACTGATTTTTCTCCCTTTCGTGCTCCCCACGACCGCCACCACCTTTTTTCCCCTTGAAAGGCTAAGTGTTAGCATCCTTAAAAGTAATACATTAATAGGTCTGGCCAAAATATTTTTAGTACCTGTGTGCTGAATTACCTTCTTCATATATATCTGCCCTAGAACGTGAATCCAGACCTGCATTACCCAGGAATTTTGTATCTCTGCTTAGTGCTGACAATCCAGCTGTGCTGCATTTGAACTGCAGGCAATTTACAGAGTATGCTGAAACTACCTTATTTGTTTTGCTAGAGACAGATTTGAATCCAAGCTTCTGGAAATAGAAACTTAATAGGATGACTTGTGTACATCTGTGAAGTGCCATAGCTTGGGTGTGATTATCTTAAAAGATGAGGCCAACTGCTGAAATAGGGAAACAGCCTTCAGCAGTCACACCCCAAATCGGATGGTACTTGGATTAATAGTCAGTTTGCCTAATCAGCATGTCAAATGCAACTAATATAAAACCTGGGGAATATGTAAGTAGAGTAACAAGTTGGTATTATGTCCCTTGCTTTCTACAAAGTATTCCAGCTGTGACTTGGAGACACTTCATTTTTTTGCAGATCAATAAGGGACTTAGGTTGTATTCAATTTTAGCACAAACTGAAGAGCTTTATATACTATATTTTGCAGCAGCAGAAAATAATTTACTTGAGCCAAGCCTTGAGAAAGTCCAGTCATTTAGCAGAGGAAGCTATCGGGCCAGCTTGCGGTAAGTCTTAAAAATAAATGAAATGAAACAAGAAATGAATCTCAATTTATTTTCAGATCTTGGTATGTTTTCCAAAGATAGTAATTATGTGCTGCTTTGCATGATGTGGCAAAGAGAGTCAAATGGCTGCAAGCATGTAGTGAGACACAGCCCCCTTGGAAAGGAATAGTTTGGGTGATAAGCTACTGATTGATGACCTGTGGATAAATAGAGATGCTCTTAATTGAACTCCCTTTCTAGTCAGAATACCTTCCCTCCAACTCTGGTCTACTGCACTTGTGTTCCATTTTTAATATTCCATATAGCCATCTAATATAATGTATAGTCATGCATGTAAATCAACTCATGCACTTTTACTCTAGGCACTTAAAAAAATTACTTGCTCTTGAGTTACTTGAGAAGGCAGTTCTAATGTACAAGGATGTTCTTCTTATGGCTTAAACTTCTTGAAGGATAAAGCATTTTACAAGCCAGTCTGTCTTGTAGCAAGACGTCTTTTATTTCTCTGTGCCCATGTTATTTGTATGTGAGTGAATTATGTGGCTTCAAGTTTATAATGTTATACTTTTGGGAGCATAGGAGAACTGCTTCAGCATCCTGTTTTACTAAACTAGACTACTTTGTAGTGATAATGGTGAATTTACTTGGTATCTTAAAAGCATGTATGATTAAGTCTGTGTGTAGGATACAGGAGGAATTTGCTCAACAAGTAAACATGACAGGGTACATATAAACAACATCTGAGTGGTGGGGGTGGAGTGTTATTGTGAAGATCAGAAAATATCTCAGTTTTTATTGTGGGATATTTTCTTCTTGAGAAGTTGAGAGGAGATGGCAAAAGAAAGAAAAAGTGGGATTCCTGTGGTTCAGTGAAACCTGATTTCATGTAATACTAAAACTGCACCTGCCTCGAAAGCAGGTACTGTGTTTCTGAGCTGTGAAGAACAGACTGTTTCTGTATTCTCTGACAGAGCTTCACTTCGGCAGCGCTCCAGATCACAGCTTGCTAATGTGGTCCCTGACCCTCCACTGTCCATTGCAGGAGACCATTCAGAGTCTGTGTATCTTACGTCTTCTTATGGAGAAGATGATGGACCAGCAGAAAAGGTCAGGTGCAATAGTTTATTATTAAATTGTAAACATGCAGGACATCTTTTATATTACCTGGTACTGAAAATCTGTTGATAAGTGCTTCTGTTACAGAAGGCGTTGGCATGTCTTCTTGGTTTGATCTTTTTCTGTATCGACTCACAGCTTTTAAGTCTTACCCTTTGTATAAGTTCTAGGCTGCATTGTTATGGCTGTTATCCTTATTCACCCATATAAAATTTCCAGCAGACTATGAACTGTTGATAGATCAATATATGTTGTAGATGAAGATGCTCACTTTATGAAATGTAATAGCCACCGAGTGATAGAAATTAGATCATTCTTATTCAGTAAAGAGTAAATTGATTTCACTCCCTCAAAATCATTATGAGAGTGAAGAGAGAACATCACTGCAACCTGAGCCAGAGCCCTTTCACTGACTTCAACAGACTTTGTATCAGTGTCCTGGTGCGACCAAGCAATATAAGAAATAAAGACAGTATGCCTTAAAATGATTCGGAACAGCACCAGTTCTTTAGGAATATGCACTGTGAATTGATTTTTAAAGCATTTGTGAGTCTTTCTGCACAAATTTGCAAAGCTATAGATACTCAGTGCACAAAGTGGCTGTCAGAAGTCACTGCTCTTGCTCTTATTAAGTCCATTCTGGGGATAAATAGAGGCTTTAGGGCTGTCACTATGATACTATCTCAGAAGAAAAAGCGAAATGTTTCCTCCCTTTATCCATTTCCAGCAGATAGGTATACACAGAGTATTTTCTGCCTGGATATTTCCAACTATATGAACTGAGAGAGTTGAACAGGGCTCAGCACACTGTGTGTTTAAAAAAAATTCTGCACAAAATCAAACTGCAGGCTAAGTTATAATTTGATGATGAATACTCTGTGCTTAGTGGGAGTAATTATGAGAATTGTTCACATAGTCTGAGAATGCTTCACATAAAGGAGGCATAATCGACATGTATAAAGCTTGGCTGTAGAGAGCATTCTCAGACTTTCTTTGTTGTAATTATACGTAGTGTCTGTTTGATGAAAAGTCTGATCAGTGCCTTCACCCACCCTATTTTAAAATAGTACTTAAGAGTGTCATGAGTGACCTAGAACATTCACTTGTGAGGAAAGAGTTTAAATTTTGCTAGTGGGTATTGCATTGCACTTCATCTGGAAGTAACAGGGAAGAGCCTAAGTTTCAGTAGATGAACGTCTTAAGCAGGTTGTAATTAACCCCTTCATTTGGAATCAGTAGAACTGCACAAGCTATGCTTCCCTTTTTCTCCAGGAATGACAGAGGTAATGTTTTACATAACACTCTTGTGACTCCCTAATCCTAAAAAAGAATTCAAGTCTGCAGGCAGGACTCATCATGGTTCCTTCCTATGCAAAGCCAGAAAAGCTTTTTGTTACTGGAGGCAACCATTTAATAAAGTACCTGTATCCATTATTTTACCTCACTAACAAAGGGAAAACATCACCAAGAATTCTTCCCCACCTCCCACCCTGTAAATGTAACTTTTTTTTTTTTTTTTTTTTTAGGAATCTGTTGCTATGGCTGAAGATGATGTGAAGCCTGTGTCATTTCTCAGGATTTTGAAATACAATGCTTCAGAATGGCCATACATGGTGCTTGGATCTCTGGGAGCAGCTATGAATGGAGCACTCAGTCCACTCTATGCTTTGTTGTTCAGTCAGATTCTTGGGGTATGTTATGCTAATATTTTAAAGTGTATTTTTGCTCTTAAGCAAAGGGGAACAAAGGATCCTGTGAGGCAGACCTGGATATGTTTTGCACAAGTCTTTCAACCTTGTATAGTAAATCACAGAATGACAGAATGGTTGAGGTTGGAAATGAAGTCAAACCCCCTTGCTCAAGCAGAGCGATTAAGCAAGGGCACCCTAGGGCCACCTAGGGCACATTGCACAGGATCTTTTCCAGGTGGGTTTTGAATGTCTCCAGAGAAGGAGACTCCACAACCTCTTTGGGCAACCTGTTCCAGTGATCTGTCACCCTCACAATCAAGAATTTTTTCCTCATACTCACAGGGAGATTCCTGTGTTTCAGTTTGTGTCCATTGCCTCTTGTCCTGTCACTCGGCACTACTGAGTAGAGCCTGGCCCTATCCTTAACGTTCTCCCTTAAGGTATTTGTTTACATTGAGAAGATCCCCTCTCAGTCTTCTTCTCTCCATGCTGAACACACCCAGCTCTCAGTCTTTTCTCATATGAAGGATGTTCCAGTCCCCAAATTATCTTGTCCCTATCTCCAGTAGTTCCATGTCTCTCTTGTACTGGGAAACCCAGAGTTGGACCCACCAGGGCTGAGCAGAGGAGGTGAGGGGATCACCTCCCTCCTTAAAGGGAGTAGAATCATTAGTGTTAGTCATATGTGCTTCTTTTTCCCCTCTCGTTCACTTTCCAGGAACTCTTGGGAATGGGTTTTAGTACGTGCCTATGCTGTTTATTTTAGATGAGGCAAGGTACAGCAAGGAGGGAGATGTGCTGAAGTACCTCCATACCAGACTACATTCTACAAACTTGGCCAGGCTCTGAGAAAGCTTTGGATCAGATCCCAAAGATTCTGACCTCTGTGTTTATCAAACTATGGGAACATGCAGTTCTGCTGCCATCTCTCAGAAAATGCCTTGGGAGAGGTGGACTATTGTAACAGGATTCACAGCTGCCAGCAAAAAGCACTTGTGTCAGGAAATAGGAATGTGTTTTAAACCCTGGTGTTCATTGAAGGATGTTACCATCAAAATCCGCAGCATTGCTTGAAATTTTTCAAGAGGTCAGCTGTGCCTGATTTCCCTTCAAAAGCCTGCCAAAACAGAAAGAGGAGATGCCCTCCCCCTTTTGCAACGTAGCTTTTGGTGAAAACATTGGCCAAGTTAGTGGGTAGCAGGAGGGAGGCCTAAAGAGATTCAGCACTGTTCTATCTAATGCCTATGTCAGTAACCTAATTTCCAAGAATCAGTAGGATTTCTTCTACTCTCTGTTGAACCTGTTTTTAATGTGAGTAACATAAGAACATATTCACTGGGAATGACTCTATAGTTTTGCAGTTTGGGTACCACTTGAGACTGTAAAACTTGTGTGTGATCCCCATTTAATTGTTTAAGTCAGGCTAGATGTGTAGGTGTGTGCAAGGAATGCATAGCCTAAAAGGTAGGCACTGTTCTACAAAGCAGAACTTCAAATCCTTTCAGGAAGGAAAGAAGGCTGAGAAAATAATAATATTGTTTGCAATCTATTAAAGATTGACCTCATGTTGCTGATGATTTTGAGGCATTGTTTTGTTATGAATAAAGGCTTAGCCATTCCTCTCTAGAAAGTTATTCCAATTAAGTCATTTCTCAGAATGTTATTTATGAATCATATTTACTTGCAGCTTGATGTTTCCTCTCTAAAATGCAGGGACAAGCAGATTAGGAGACATTCCAGTTGATCCCCTACCTGAACAATGTGCTTGGCCTTTTAGCCATCTCTGAACACTCTTTAGGTGGCTAAACCTCAAGCTAATGACTATGGCTTTCACTAGATAGCAGAAGAGGTACTGCTGTGTCTGTTCTGTAATGGCTCTAATCTTAATCCGCTTTGAGAGTTAGGTTTGCCAAACAGAGTTCTGGGCCTGAAGTCATCCTCTAAGATATTGGTGCATTCTTTGAAAAACCCTTTCTTGAAATCTGAATCTCTGAGAGGAGAGAGTTTGCAAAGTAAAACTAGGCCACATCAAACACAAACAAAATTCAACATCTGTGTTTTATTATCCCTAACTTCAATCAATTTTTGTCAAGGCAGGCAGATGGAATATGCATCTGCCTTCCAAGTGTTATTTGAATATCTTCAGTGAGGTAGTGGCTTGTGCTGTGGGAGCAAGACAGTCGAGGAAGTGAGGCTATGGAATGAAAAAGGTTTAGCAAAGTCTGGCTTTGAGGTTCTTGGAAATTAGACTGCAAAAGTGAATGAAGCACTGGGCAATACTGGGTCTGTTGTCTTAGCAGTTTAGTTCAAATCTTTGAAACAAATTTCTCAGTTGTTCCTGTTTACTATACTTTGGCTCCCATGGAGGAATAGTCTCAGAGCACAAGAAATGAATTCTTTTCCATTAAAACTGAACTGGAGTCTAGATCATGTAACACCAGCTCTTTGTTTTTATTGACCTGATGCTGTTTCCCATTCTACATGCTAATATAGCCAATGTTATTCTTTTATAATCAAGATCATAGTTCAAGAATATAGTTGAGCATGTTAGGGTGACCACAGAACTGGCTAGTTAAGTTTTACAGGACATAATTTCAGGGAAAAAGATCCTCTGTTTGCAGCATAGTGATCTCTTCCTCACCAATCCACTTCTGCTTATTTAGGGCAGTGATGAGGAGACCTGCACTGGGCTCCTAACCTCCCTCTTTAGGGTGAGTGTGAGCTTGTGCTTCAGGAAGGCTGGTGTGCTCTCCTGGATGTAGGGCTTGCATTAAGAGCCCCTGTCTGACTCATAACAGGCTGCACCAGAGACCTCCTGGGTGCTTCCCAGGCCCTGGGATTCTCCCAGCCTTTACCTAGGAGCAACAGAGAGCCTGGCCACTGGGCAGGGGCCTTTCACAGCATCTTTCTTGCTTAACAGAAAACAGTGGAGCTGCTTTGAATGTGAGTGATACAAGCAGAACATGAAAGAAGGGAAGATTCACTGCACCCTCCTCTTTCATGAACACCCCAGCCCCAATCTCCAGAAAACCAGGCGCAACTTTTTACGTTATTGAAATGAAGACTCCTACTTCTCGCCTAACACCTAACCATGCAGAAGCAATGAACTCAAGTGTATTTATAAGAAGCGTAAATACTGGGACTCGCCCCAATGTCCCTGGGCAGGCGTCTTCCTTTGTTTGTCTTTGCCTCTCCAGTGTTCAGTCTCGTATTTATTTGGCACTTCTGCATTTAATTAGGAAATTTCACAGTGGGGGAAAAAATGATGAGTTCCATTAATGTATGGGATCACGCCAACTGTGCAGAGAGAACATACAAGTAACTTGCAAAAAGCCATCAGTACCTTTGGAGAGTAAAGTGTTTTTCACCTCAGTTTGTATTTATTAGCTTTGTATTTATCAAGATCCTTCACACAGTGTTTATCACGTTGTTTGTAGTCTTAGTCATTAAATTTTCTACTCACTTCAGTAGAGATTTTGCTGATGATCCTTGATACAAAGGGGTACTGTAGTGGTGTAATTAATGTCTAGTACATGATGAGTAGCTACTCCCATGGTTATGTTTAGATTTTGTGTACCATGATGATACAGAAAATGCCATTCTGGCAGTTCTCAAATAGTCTTTGCAGCATTCAGTGCACATGACACTGCAGCCACCTTCTTGTGCCTCATTCAGTTCCAATGTTTAACAGGAATGCTGCCTGCAAAAACCACAACAAAATCAATCACAGCCCCACACCCTAAAGTGTTTCTTTAGTTACTTACGGTATAAAGACAAAAGCTGCTCACAGCCAGTCGAGAATCATAATGAATTACTGAAGGTGGAATGGATTTCATCAAGGAGATAGGAAGAGCAGACACTTTTGTTATATTCTCATTATGATGAGTTAAAATAAGAGATTTGCATCAAAACATATGGGTAATTTTCTTTAAATGAAGATTAGCCTGAAGAACCATATGCCTAACTACTGATACTGATACTTTGGCCTGGAGCAGACCAGAGCTTGAAACACTAAATGTTATTTCAATATTAACATTTTGGACTTTGCGGGATTTATTTTGTTGACTGATGTATAAATTTGAAAAAAACTTTTGAAGTAGAATTCCTAGTAGAGAATAGTCATTTCTTTTTCTCAATTTCATGCTCTAATTTCTCTCAATAATCTTAATGTATAGATAATTTTGAACTGTAAGTAATTTGGGCTAACCTTTTAAGGCTTGGACTTTAGTTTGTTTTTGTAATTTTTTTTATATATAGCAGGTGTAATGGAAGTTCAATATGTACCTTCTGTTGTCAGATATTTCCCTGAAGGAATTTAGAATGGTTTTGTTCTTAGTAAAGGTCAAATGCGTAGATTATTTTAACTGTACCTTAAAGACAAGAGAGAAGTACAGGCATGAGCTGTGGTTCATACCTCTGAGCAGCAAAAGGAGTTTAGTCGGTTCGGGTCGGCTCGCTGACCTGCATTCCAGGTGCTGAAAAATGTCAGATACAAAGAATGAGAGATAAAAGGGCAATGCCATGAAGACTGGGAGAAGCAGGGCAGGAGTCTAGTTCAAGCACTAGTGATGATGATTCTTCAGTCCTCTGCAGGAAGGGAATAGCTCCTACCACACTGGTGCAGCAGAGGAGAGGGAGTTCCACTTGAAGCCTTAAAGCCACTTGAAGCAATTAGAACAGCTTCGGTGGGAGCTGTGTGAGGAGAGTCACCCCGGGGTGTATTCAGGTGCTTGGTTTGTGTGGCCTCGTGAGGTAGCAGCTGCCTAGAGAAAGGAGCTCATGGAGCTGCTGCACCGCTGCTTCTCTCTACGCCGTTTATTCCATTGCTGTTCTCTGGCTATCAGGCTGGACCTTGTTTACAGGGAGAGATGACTGATAACTAAACCTAGCATGGGCAGCAAGTAAAAGCAGTATGTGCAATCAGTAAGTGTGATACAGTTTTTTTTATCAGGAGTGAAAAATCATTATGCGGTGCCCAGATGTAGTTTAGGAAAATCCGGGGTGCGTGTGTCACAGCCGTGCCTTAAACGCTGCAGGCCGGGAATCCCAGCCTTGCACTGGAGCCTCCTTGCGGGCTGCACTTAGTGGCAGTGACAGGGAGAGATGTGGGGTGCCAGGGGCAGTCTTTTCTTTGGTTCTTTCCATTTGCTGGCCTGTATTTCTTCCTGTCAGTCTTTCTGTCACTCTGGCTGTTGTGAATCACGCTCTTGGGAAGCTGCCACTATATGAAGAACTTCGGAGTCTCTAAATTCCTGAAAATGCCACCCACAAGTTCAGTGCATGGAACCAAATTCTGTCATGTCCCGTTGCAGATGTTGACCTAACTTGTAAGTTCTGTTTCCCCCAGTTACATGAATCTAATACCGTGCCCCCCATTTTTTTTTTCAAAGACCTTTTCCATCTCGATGAAGAGGAACAAAGAAGACAGATCAACGGTGTCTGCTTGCTCTTTCTCATTGTTGGGCTTGTATCATTTCTAACACAATTTGCACAGGTAATATCAGTCCAACGTAGGTCAATATTGTTTCTCATCTCTTTTACTGTATGCGTACCTTTCTGAACAATAACAGTGTTTATTCTAATGCAGGGATACACTTTCGCCAAGTCTGGTGAGCTGCTTACGAGACGGCTAAGGAAAATTGGCTTCCAGGCTATGCTAGGACAAGAGATTGGTTGGTTTGATGACCAGAGAAACAGCCCTGGTGCTTTGACTACAAGACTTGCAACAGATGCATCACAAGTTCAAGGGGTAAGACATGATATAATAAGATATAATAGGGACTGCTTTATTAGCGCTAAGTCAAGGCCTATTTTGGCCCTAAAATGACTGCAAATTGTTACAAAGAATAGTGTTCTTTTAAAGTACGTGAGGGAAAGGTGATTGAGTGACCATAAAGATTATATCAAGGATAGTAGTTAAAATTTATCCCTAAAAGACAGTGATTTTAATTCATCAGTTCTCCCTGATGTTTCTTACTGATTTTAGCATAGCTGAGACTTTACTGTGTTAATAGTTAAGTTGCAAAAGGTTTCTGTTTGTTCTTTAAGTCAATAGATAAATATATAGGCTAAACAAAACATTCAGAAGGAATTCCTCCAGAAACCTTGAGGATTTATTTAAACAGATGCTCTTTGCTAGTATCATTAGCAACAAATTTCTTCACATCTCCTTGGAAAGTTTGGTTGGCAAAAGAGGGTCTGAGATTTGCATTCCTTCTCTTGATGCAATTAAAGGGAAACAATGTATCTAAACTGACCGAATTCTAGTGCTGTCTGCAGCCATTGGTGCCTTATGTTATTTTAATGATATTTAGAGTTTTCATAAGGTTTAGAGGAAGATTTTTTTTTAAGATTATTGAAGTTACTACTGGAGTACAAACCAATTATTTCCTTTTTTTTTTTTTTTTTTTTTTTTTTTTTCTTTGAAGGCAACTGGGTCCCAGATAGGAAATGTTGTCACTTTTT